GATCACCTAATGCTATAATAAAGTACTCAACTCAACAATCCATTGACTCCATTGATTTAACTTATAATAAAAGGACAGACAGTTATAATTCACAAGTATTATAAATATGATGACATTTATTTAAAGAGTAAAACAAGATATTACTGATAATTTCAGTGCATTCCTGGGTTAGCCGGTGAAAGAGGCCCAAAGGGAGAGCCGGGTCGGGATGGATATAATGGGAGTCCGGGTCCAGTAGGACCACCCGGACATATATTTATGATTCCATTACAAACACAAACTAATTCAAAGGGTCCCGATAATAATGAAGAGATTAGAGCTATGCTTAGTCAACACATTGTATGTATTATTCACTTCATTTACTAGTAATTAAATTTTATTATCATTTCATAATAAATTATAATACAGTATTTAATTTGTTATTTATTTAATAAATATACTATAAATTTTATAGTATAAAACATTAACATACAGTATAATTAAAATATGTTATTTATAAAGAATTTTGTTTTTATTTTTATAAAAACAAATCCGATTCTGTTAACTATTAAAATTAGTAAATTAATTATTAAAAATGACTATAATATGCATTTGAGCATATCAATTATTTTGGAGAATGGTAATTACCTCATTCGACTCATTACCTCGAGCGGCAAAATACAAATACAGACTTATTATTAAAATAATTGAATTGTTTAATCATTAACTAAAGATATTTATCCCTTTTTAAAAGCAATCAATGAAAGGTCCGCCCGGACCGCAAGGAGTGACAGGATTTACAGGATCTGTGGGACAACCGGGTCCTCCTGGACCTAAAGGAGAACCGGGGTTGAGTGGGCCCGAGGGTACCAGAGGTATGAAGAGTTATACAAATTTCCACTTTTGTTCTTATAATCATTTGGTTTATAGGATTGAGAGGAATAATGGGATTACCAGGTCTTATAATTTGATAATTATTATGTGATACTGTATTCATAATATTATTTCACTTTAAATAACGTTATTTCACTTGTATTTCAATGTGGTTCAATCAAATGCCTTTACCTTCACATGACATCAGGTCGTCCCGGAAGAAGAGTAAGTATTGCTTTAATAAATACAATAAGTGTTAACAATTGAATTATATTATTTGAAAAATTGTATTACGGTAATACACTATCTTTATATAACTGTATATAAGATTAAGCAAAAATAGTTCACAGAAATAGTGTGTGTTGGCAACACTTAAGCAATACAATTTAACAATAATTATAATAATCATTACTACGATATACTCAATAATGAATTTATTTTATAGGGAAAGAGTGGAACTCCAGGTTTGTTTCATCTTGAAAATGAATGATATAGTATTGAGATATGAATGGTATGTCCATCCAATTGATGACGAATATTAGGACAGACGGGTCCAGTGGGTCCTATTGGCTTCAAAGGAGAACCTGGACTTCCAGGCGTTCCGGGATTTCCCGGTGAAAAAGGTTGAAAATATGGACAAAAACGAGTGACGACTGGAATAACATATATTTGGTTTGAAGGCGAGCGCGGATTTACAGGAGCCCAAGGAATACAAGGAGAGCCCGGGGTTGGCGGTGAAGCTGGAGATGATGGCGAATCCGGAGCTCCCGGTCTTAATGGGGAAATAGGTCCCCGAGGTTTTCCTGGTCCCCGAGGATTCCCTGGACTTATCGGTCCAATTGGTGTTTCGGGTTCTGATG